GTAACGTCCACACAACGTCAAATTTTAACATCATTAGACGTTGATATTTTGTTGGTTTTAGGTTTTGGTATTAACTAACCAAAATACAACGTCATGCCAACGTCTCCTGACAACGTCATATTTACGTCAAAAACTGACATTTAGTCGTGAGGTATGGTGACCAAAACCCAACATGTTCTTAACGTCATAATGGTAACGTCCACACAACGTCAAATTTTAACATCATTAGACGTTGATATTTTGTTGGTTTTAGGTTGTGGTATTAACTAACCAAAATACAACGTCATGCCAACGTCTCCTGACAACGTCATATTTACGTCAAAAACTGACATTTAGTCGTGAGGTATGGTGACCAAAACCCAACATGTTCTTAATGCATCGTCCACACAACGTCAAATTCTAACATCATTAGACGTTGATATTTTGTTGGTTTCAGGTTGTGGTATTAACTTACCAAAATACAACGTCAAGCCAACGTCTCCTGAGAACGTCATATTTACGTCAAAAACTGACATTTAGTCGTGAGGTATGGTGACCAAAACCCAACATGTTCTTAACGTCATAATGGTTACGTCCACACAACGTCAAATTTTAACATCATTAGACGTTGATATTTTGTTGGTTTTAGGTTGTGGTATTAACTAACCAAAATACAACGTCATGCCAACGTCTCCTGACAACGTCATATTTACGTCAAAAACTGACATTTAGTCGTGAGGTATGGTGACCAAAACCCAACATGTTCTTAACGTCATAATGGTAACGTCCACACAACGTCAAATTTTAACATCATTAGACGTTGATATTTTGTTGGTTTCAGGTTGTGGTATTAACTTACCAAAATACAACGTCAAGCCAACGTCTCCTGAGAACGTCATATTTACGTCAAAAACTGACATTTAGTCGTGACGTATGGTGACCAAAACCCAACATGTTCTTAACGTCATAATGGTAACGTCCACACAACGTCAAATTTTAACATCATTAGACGTTGATATTTTGTTGGTTTCAGGTTGTGGTATTAACTAACCAAAATACAACGTCATGCCAACGTCTCCTGACAACGTCATATTTACGTCAAAAACTGACATTTAGTCGTGAGGTATGGTGACCAAAACCCAACATGTTCTTAACGTGATAATGCATCGTCCACACAACGTCAAATTCTAACATCATTAGACGTTGATATTTTGTTGGTTTCAGGTTGTGGTATTAACTTACCAAAATACAACGTCAAGCCAACGTCTCCTGAGAACGTCATATTTACGTCAAAAACTGACATTTAGTCGTGAGGTATGGTGACCAAAACCCAACATGTTCTTAACGTCATAATGGTAACGTCCACACAACGTCAAATTTTAACATCATTAGACGTTGATATTTTATTGGTTTCAGGTTGTGGTATTAACTAACCAAAATACAACGTTAAGCCAACGTCTCCTGAGAACGTCATATTTACGTCAAAAACTGACATTTAGTCGTGAGGTATGGTGACCAAAACCCAACATGTTCTTAACGTGATAATGCATCGTCCACACAACGTCAAATTTTAACATCATTAGACGTTGATATTTTGTTGGTTTCAGGTTGTGGTATTAACTAACCAAAATACAACTTCGAGCCAACGTCTCCTGACAACATCATATTTACGTCAAAAACTGACATTTAGTCGTGAGGTATGGTGACCAAAACCCAACATGTTCTTAACGTCATAATGGTAACGTCCACACAACGTCAAATTTTAACATCATTAGACGTTGATATTTTGTTGGTTTCAGGTTGTGGTATTAACTAACCAAAATACAATGTCATGCCAACGTCTCCTAACAAAGTCATATTTATGTCAAAAACTGACATTTAGTCGTGAGGTATGGTGACCAAAACCCAACATGTTCTTAACGTGATAATGCATTGTCCACACAACGTCAAATTCTAACATCATTAGACGTTGATATTTTGTTGGATTCAGGTTGTGGTATTAACTAACCAAAATACAACGTCAAGCCAACGTCTCCTAACAAAGTCATATTTATGTCAAAAACTGACATTTAGTCGTGAGGTATGGTGACCAAAACCCAACATGTTCTTAACGTCATAATGGTAACGTCCACACAACGTCAAATTTTAACATCATTAGACGTTGATATTTTGTTGGTTTCAGGCTGTGGTATTAACTTACCAAAATACAATGTCATGCCAACGTCTCCTGAGAACGTCATATTTATGTCAAAAACTGACATTTAGTCGTGAGGTATGGTGACCAAAACCCAACATGTTCTTAACGTCATAATAGTAACGTCCACACAACGTCAAATTTTAACAGACGTTGATATTTTATTGGTTTCAGGTTGTGGTATTAACTAACCAAAATACAACGTTAAGCCAACGTCTCCTGAGAACGTCATACGTCAAAAACTGACATTTAGTCGTGAGGTATGGTGACCAAAACCCAACATGTTCTTAACGTGATAATGCATCGTCCACACAACGTCAAATTCTAACATCATTAGACGTTGTTATTTTGTTAGTTTCAGGTTGTGGTATTTACTAACCAAAATACAACATCAAGCCAACGTCTCAACACAACGTCCTATGACAAACATTTATTTTTGATGTGTGGTGACCAAACCCCAACATCATGTTGACGTCATAATGTTGATGTCCGCACAATGTCAAATTCTGAAAACATTAGATGTTGTTATTTTATTGGTTTTAGGTTGTGGTATTAACTAACCAAAATACAACGTCAAGCCAACATCTTGAGACAATGTCATATTTACGTCAAACATTGACATTTAATCGTTAGGTATGGTGACCTTAAAAATCTTAAAAATCTCCTTAACGTCATAATGATAACTTCAACACAATGTCAAATTCTAACATCATTAGACGTTGATCTTTTGTTATTTTTAGGTTGTGTTGTAAAGTAACTAAAATCCAACGTTGAGCCAATGTTTCAAACCAATATCACATTGACGTCAAATACTGACATTTAGTGGTGAGGTATGGTGACCAAAATCAAACGCCACCTTGATGTCATTATGGTAACGTCCATATAACGTCAATTCTAACATCATTAGACGTTAATATTTTGTTGGTTTTAGGTTGTGATTTAACTAACCAAAATACAATATCAAACCAACATCTCCAGACAATGTCATATTTAAGTCAAACATTGACATTTAGTCGTTATGTATGGTGACCACAACCTAACATCTCCTTAACGTCATAACATCCACACAATGTCAAATTCTAACATCATTAGACGTTGATCTTTTATTATTTTAAGGTTGTGTTGTAAAGTAACTAAAATCCAATGTTGAGCCAACGTCTCAAACCAACATCATATTGTTGTCAAATACTGACATTTAGTCATGAGGTATAGTGACCAAAAATCCACGTCTCTTCAACGTCATTATGATAACGTTAAATTCTAACATCATTAGACGTTGTTCTTTTGTTATTTTTAGGTTGAGTTGTAAAGTATCTAAAATCCAACATTGAGCCAACGTTTCAAGCTAACGTCATAATGATGTCAAATACTATGTTTTGTTGGGTCACAATCTCACTTCTAAATTGTCATGAGGTACAGTATGGTGGTCTAAACCCAGCAATGTCACTATGTTAACATCTAGACAACACAACATTCCATTATTAGATGTTTTTGTTTTGTTGACTGCACATCATGGTTAGCCTACTAAACAAAACACAAATGTCAGCATGCTAATGTACATATACATCTTAAATAGGATACATCAACATTAGACATATTTGGTATGATTTCAGTTGTGGTCTTGGGTAAGAGAAATTCAATGTCTAAAATACACTAACTTCATACTTATGAATAATTCAGACTGAAGTCTTTGTGACCTAAACGTCAAACTTACTGTAAGCATTGCTCTTTATTGGTGATAGTTTGGATTATCCATAGATTTTCTTGTTCATGCAAGTGTAATAGATCAAGTTGACCCAGTGTGTTCCCTGTCAGAAGAACAAGCTCTTCACCAGGAGTGTGCTGATCTAAAAATGAATGAAGTACTACATGCAAGCATGCAACTGAAAGACTGAAGGTGTGCCCAACACACATTGGTTTGGGATTTATTAATGGTTTATTCTTATGTCTACAATAATGAATCATGAACCACCCTGTGTTATTTTGCATATTTACAAAAAAAATCAGCTGGGTTGATGCTCAAAATTATGTTGTTTGCAGGTGTATACAGTACACTTTATTCAATTTGGAGAAGCACATTCCCGGCAAGATTTACATTCTCACAAGAGGGAAAGACTTTATGGTTCAAAATTGGATGATCTACATTATGGAACAGCAAATAAGTTGTGCATTTGGGTAATCAAAATCTCGGTAACACTTTACAATAAGGTTCATTAGTAACTACATACATTAACTAAGAATAAAAAATACTTCTTCAGCATTTGTTAATTTCAACATTTACTAATATTTTATTAAAATCTTGTTAACATTAGTTAGTGCACTGTGAACTAACATGAACAAGCAATGAACAACTGGATTTAAATGTATTGCTCATGGTTAGTTCATGTTAGTTAATACATTAACTAATGTTTAATAAATGAACCTTATTGTAAAGTGTTTCCAAAATCTCCAAAGTCACAATACAGCAGTTTATTGGAGACTAATGAATTCAGAATTCAGGCAGTGACAGGGTAACAGTATGAGTAATCATCTGTATAGCATATGTCCAACAACCTGACAGTTTTATCTTTTTAATTAGGGCTACTTATCAGGTGAGTTGGACCTCATGGACCTGAAATTTTAGTTATAGCGTATATAACACATATGGCCTTCATTTGGATTCCATGAGAAACAGACATACATTGCACCCAATTTCTTTATCAAGTTGTGCTTAACAGTGCAGCTGTCAGACAAACGCAGTAGTTATTTTTAATAATGATAATAATATGAATAACAATAATAATAAAATCAATTTAGCCTATTGAAGTGTGCAACAGTTTTTAGAATGTTGCAGGTAACCCAAGAAATTTTAAATGAATCCCTAACCAATCACAGTTAGGCATCAATTTGAAATTAATTCCTAACCAATCACAGTTAGGCATCAATTTCCTCCGCTCTACCCTCTTGTGGGAAAGACGAAGACCTCCCACCCGTTCCACTCCACTCCAGCAGCCATTATACTGTCTGCGCGGGCACTGGCCTGCACAACTTTCAACATCTGGATATACCTGCTGTGGAAGGTGAGTGAACAGAGGTAACGAAAATTTAAATAAATATTGGTGTTTATTAGTTTTATTTTATTTTATGTGGACTGGGCTGCGCGAGAATTTCTACCTGGCCTACTATTTAACTACCAAAGCAGTTACCTAGTTGATGTAGTTAAAAGTGACTTTTATATAATAACTAACTACTAGTACAAGTAGTGATATAGGAATGATCCCTCAGCGCACATTTGTCAGACTGAAATGCACGTGCGCCGGCTGTCCGGTTCGCTGGGGGTATGGCCGCTGTTGTTGGAGGAGTCGGGAAACGACTAGCATGTGAATGCATTAATTTATATTAATTTTACAGAGCCCTTCACATGACACGCAAAATATATACACAGTATATATTTTTTTACATAGTGGCTATAACGTTACTTGTCCTTATTTGTCGTGGATTCTAGATCACTGTTGTAAAATGTGCTTGTGGGACGTCAATGTAAGTTATAAGGATTTTCGACAGCCAATTTTAAAATACAAAGAAATAAGCTTAATAATGATATGATTAAATGTTTATTTATCTAGATGAATTGGCAGTAGCCTTAAAAAATGTCATGTGGTCCGAATGTGATTTATTTTATTTTATTTCCTGCTTAACCATTTTATTTTTTACAAGTTCTGGTAACGCTTTACAATACGGGTGCACTTAAGCATTAATTCATACTACTTAACTAATGCACAGATAATCACGAGTCAATGTATGACACAATTATACTGCATCTGCAACTAATAACGTCTATATTAATATTTTAAGTAATATATTAATTAATTGATTAAATGTGCCATAATGTATTAATTCATGAATAATATATTTTATTAACAGTGTAAATAAATGTGTAAATTACCACAATGTATGTACTTCAGTTGTTGGCTTTAATTAATCATTAGCTTATGATTTGCAAGGGTATCATTATTTAAATATTACTAATTGTTAAGTAATATGTCATAGTACAATAATGTGGAAGTCAAAACCAAAATGACATAGCCTATTGCAATTAGTTAATAGTCAATACATTACATATGGCATACATTATCTGTGCAATGTGCATTGTTACCACAGTTCTCCGAAATTAAAGTTTGCCTTTCTTTTGAGTTTTTGTAAATAATGATCTCATGTTTTTGTTTTATAAGGGCAGGCATCAACAGTTGAGGAAATGTCCTTGATAAATCTCTCAACTGCCTGGAGGAAAAGCAGATACCGGTAAGGACATACAGTCATATACTGTATAATGCAATTTTTATAATGTGCAGTGTTTCAATCCCCGTGCGACTTGCAACCGTCATGGGGATACACTGTTAACCTTTTTTGTGTTTAAACTAAAATACTGTTCCTCTAATTTCAGATTAATAGCTTGTCCAATGATGGAGAAATACATTTAAAGGACAATGGGAAAAGGATCATGGAGAAGTAAGTTTTTATATTAGCAGTTCTTGGCAGAATCATGTGTTATTTTATCTGGATGTTGTCACAGACAAGTTGATGAAGTTGACTATCCATCCGTCTGTCTGTTTAATTAGAGATGTGTGTGATGACTAATTTTAAAGTCATTTAAACAGAGGTTTAGTAAGCGACTAGGCTTGCTACGATAGTCGGTGTTGAGGCAGGCATACACGGTGCAAGTTCGGACACTCGTAATGGAGGTCGTAAGATATTGCATTTCAGGAGTCAGTTAACTTGATAATCACGTCAAAACAGCCGGTACACGGCACGACTGTCCTGCACAAATCTTATCTAATATTAATTTCTGTCACTGCTGTGAACTGACCACTGCATAGAATATGAAAAATATGAATATCTTCGTGAATCAGCTGTCAACAACAGGCCTAAACCAGCCATGGTACCAGCACAAAAACACAATCATTAAAATATCGAGACATATTTTTGTCAATATTGCGCACCCCTAATGTAAGGTATTTTTTTATTTTTTTTATTTCTTCAGGTCTTAACAATCCTTAAATTTGCCTTTTAAAAAAGTGTGCATAAACCCTACTGGTGAAAAACAGGCAGACTCCCCGAATTTTTTAAACATTTTTTAAAATTATCGGGAAGTGCTCGGCTTGGCTCGTAATTCCTCTCACACGTTGCGAACATGTGAGCACCATCGATATCCATGCGATCATCGGCGAGCGCGTAAATCTTGAGCCGAACAAGAGTCGACACACAGATCAGCAACATGAGTCAGTTTCTTTCATCACAAGAGTGAGGAGCTGACTGACAAGGTGACTGCGGAATAATGTGTCACAGCGAAATGTAAAAGCACCTATTTAAGTGAATTTGTCATTGCACTGTTTTGTTGTTGTGTAATTTAAAAATGAAACTAACATGTGCACGGCCACACGTGTCAACGTGCACGGACTGAGCAGAACAGAAATGTACAGAACTCCCTTTGACATGTGTGGCCGTGCACATGTTAGTTTTGTTTTCAAATTAGCACCAATTCACCTTTGGCTAAGCCCCGCCCCCCTAAGTTACTGTTGTTACATCTGTCAAACTTCATCTGCACTCTGCATGGCTTATGCTGTAACAGCTCTTCCTGCTGAAATGTTATCAAACTTTTATAAAGCAGCAAATAAAGTGTCCGATAAAAGTAGGCAAAAGGGGCTGCAATATGCGTTCAAAGGCTATATTCAAGACATACAGGTGAAATGCAAGAAACAACAAGGCATCCAAATACGTTTACATTTGCCTTTAAATTAGCTTTTTAAAAGCCCCGCCAGTGATACCGGTATTGCTGGTGTTGTCCACACGTTGATTAGCCGGTGGGAAAATATCCTCGCCGTCACATACCTATAACTGACTAGTCTAAAATTAACAAACCCGTGCAGTTAAAATAGGAACACTGTGTACATCTGATTCAATTAAAACACTCAATTTACCATTCCAATATGCAATATCCAAATGTGATATTAAATATTTAGATTTTTCTATATGTTTAAATCCTTCCTGACCTTTGGAATCAACACCAGGCCAACAGTGGAACCAGTGTGACATCTAGATATGACAAACTTACTAAACTATAACAATCGTTATATAATGTGTTGTATATAATTAATTATTTGGACATTTCAATTCTCTTCCTTTTGTATCCACAGGTTGATGACAAAGGAGGTAATGGCCAGTTTCAATATGAAGGGTGGGAAAGGAACATCTTTACAATGTTGTCACAGGTAAAAAAAACTATATATATATATATATATATATATATATACAGTATATATATATATTGACGATCATGTGTCCCCAGTGAAGCTGACTTTTAATTTTACGGGCGGCCCTGAGCACACAGCGCTCCTATTCTTCGTCTTCATTAGTTTATGCTCTCTGTTTAACAGTTTAATACGTTACTGGATATAACCTGTTGTTGGATAGAACAAAGAAATTAAACTGTATAAGAAGAAGTATTATAGTTTTTGCTTTTATATTATTAGTAACAAACAGGCAAACACTATTAATAGTTTCTCATATTCAGCAAATATACGCATTTATATAATTTAAACAAATCTTTGAATATTAAAAAAAAAACATTTAATTTCACAATCCTTGCAGACTTTGTCGAATCCAGCTGTCAGATATTCTGAAGTGTACACAGACGTTCAATCCCGGTCAGTCCGTGTGAATAAGTTCAGCTTCACTGGGGACACATGATCGACAAACTTTAAACCTTTGATTTCAAACTATGCTGGCGCTATATTCAGTTGCCCTCTGCCATATTCATGTCATTTACACTGTGTGCTAAATGTAAAATGAGTGTCACGTTGTCTTTATTTGAAAAAAAAAAAAATGTGGTTCCTAGTGCGCACAAACTTACTGAGTGCCAGGTTGATTGCATTATCTTTTTATTCATATTTTTTTCAAACAATTTCTTTATATGTGAAAAATACTGTAATAGCATATAATTACAGAATCAAGAAGTTACAGAATCAAGAAGTTACAATCTAAAATAAGGATGTTAAGGATGTTTAATTTATAGATGTTTTTAATTCATTTGCAGATTATTTATTTAAATATCAATTCATATCTTAGTATATCAGACATGTATCGTTCGTTGCCAGTCTTAATTTTCTTGATAGTGCAAGTGCATCTCAAAATTGGGAAGATCACGATTATGATCATGTATCGTGATTGTTTCTTAAAAGATTGTGATATGAAATTTTGGTAAGAATGCCCACACCTACTCTAACTGTTGTTTTTACATTCAATCTGATGTCTTTTAAATGTTCATTAAGCTTAAGATTAACATTTTTGCTTGGAATGTCTGATCGCCATTTGTGAACAGCATCAAAAGAAATATCTCTCTTTTGATGAGTTACAGCATGTACATGCAAGAATGTTACATGTGTATGGCCCTTAAAGCTAGGGTAGAATTTTTTTTCCAAAAACTTGTTGAAAGTGTGTTCCTATCCTGGTAGCTACTGTATATACATATATAGGATGTCCTACCTGTTTGTCAATATATATATTTGCATACCTCTACGCAACTTGTTTGCAAAGTGAAACGTCATCAACGTGTTCAATATATGCATAGAAATTGAGAATAGAAGCCAAACATTAGCGATTTCTCTTGAACCAACATTTGAAAAGGGTTTTATTTAAAAAAAAAAAAATAATTATGAAATTGTATTTTTGCTAAATGTTTTTTTTTAACCTTTTTTTTTCATTATTCACATTCATTATTATTGTAATGTCTCACCAGTGAATGAGACACGAGTTAATCTAAAAGCATTGCACTCTCTTCCACCAACTCTTTGGTTATTTGGCTTTTGAGATGCTCTGAATCATATCGATTGCTTTCCAAGCTAGCTTGCTATTGCTAGCCCCTCTGAAATGTCCTACCCTAGCTTTAAGACTGTTTGGAATTCAATGTTTTAATGCTTAATGTAGTGCATCATATCTTATATTCCCTATAAATTTTATTTTTCAAATATTTCTTACAGAGTGTCTAGAGGACTTCAAAGGAGACGGAGGCAAACATTGGAGCGGCTGTCGCCGTATGTTTAAAATATGCCCCAGACAGGCAGGGGCGGAGGTTGCAGGAAAAAAAAATTGTACGATTTTAGAATAAGGATAATAATGTTAAGTATAAATGGTTGAAAACCTTCTGTTAAAATAATGTGAATAAAATAAAAGGTTATTTTATAATCCATTTAATTTCTTTGTCATTTATCTAATAAACATCATTTGTGGATTACAGTTCACTAAAAATTAAATTACTTTTCTGTTTGCTCTTGTCTTAAGATAAATACTTTTGGGTTGTCTTGCATTGGATCTTGACCTCTGTTCGAACCTTGTTGTTACATGAAGTTTCTTTTGATGAAACTTCATGTAGTTTTATGTCATGCCAACAAAATTACCATATATTTCTTTAAAGTTGGAATTTGACAGCTTAATGTTGTGTTTTGACAGATATCTGACATCAAAAATTCATTGTCTGTCCACGGTTGGACGTCAGCCCAACATGTGAGTTTGATGTTTAGCTTAACATTGGGGTCTGACACTTAAAACTGATTCATTTTCAACCAAAAGGCAATGTCCAACGTTGGAGGTTTACCCAGCACCGGGTTGATAACTCAACATCAGACTGACGTTTATCGTCAATGTTGGACAGACGTTGCAATTTGGTTGAAAATGGAAATCGGGTTGATGTAAAAACCCAATGTCAGACTGACGTCAACATCCAATGTTGGACAGACGTTGCATTTTGGTTGAAAATGAAAATCGGGTTGACATCATAACCCAACGTCAGTTTGTCGTCAATATCCAACGTTGGACAGATGTTGCATTTTGGTTGGAAATGAAAATCAGGTTGACGTCATAACCCAACGTCAGTCTGTCGTCAACATCCAATGTTGGACAGACGTTGCATTTTGGTTGAAAATGAAAATCGGGTTGACGTCATAACCCAACGTCAGTCTGTCGTCAATATCCAACGTTGGACAGACGTTGCATTTTGATTGGATATGAAAATCGGGTTGACGTCATAACCCGACGTCATAACCCAACGTCAGTCTGTCGTCAATATCCAACGTTGGACAGACGTTGCATTTTGATTGGATATGAAAATCGGGTTGACGTCATAACCCGACGTCATAACCCAACGTCAGTCTGTCGTCAATATCCAACGTTGGACAGACGTTGCATTTTGATTGGATATGAAAATCGGGTTGACGTCATAACCCGACGTCATAACCCAACGTCAGTCTGTCGTCAATATCCAACGTTGGACAGACGTTGCATTTTGATTGGATATGAAAATCGGGTTGACGTCATAACCCAACGTCAGTCTGTCGTCAATATCCAACGTTGGACAGACGTTGCATTTTGATTGGATATGAAAATCGGGTTGACGTCATAACCCAACGTCAGTCTGTCGTCAATATCCAACGTTGGACAGACGTTGCATTTTAATTGGATATGACAATCGGGTTGACGTCATAACCCAACGTCAGAGTAACGTTGGATTCTGACGTCAACCCGATTTTCATATCCAATCAAATTGCAACGTCTACCCAACGTTAGGGTCCAACGTCAATATAACGTCATATTGACGTCCAGTGCCTGCTGGGTTATTTTCAAGGTGAAAATGATTCATTTGCCTCGATCCACGCCAGAAAAAAACGTCTAAATGTCTAAAGGTACGCTAAAACAACGTAGGGAAGCGCGGGGCACAACCTAACGCGGGGTTAAATGTAACACGGACCGTTTACATATCGTCAGGATCAAGCTGGCCGTCTTTCCGCTATTTTTCTCTTGCTGCCAGAAGACGATCTCCAGCGAATTTGCGGAAAGTTTTGATTATATTTCGTGAAGATACTGGACAAAGAGTGTTTTGACACCATGAAAGCAATTTTTTTCATCATATTTTTTTTTCGGTTTCTGAGTTGGGTGTATACGTTTCCAAATTTAACTTTATATTGCCTTAACCACTGTCTTGTTGGCTCAAACACCGTTTTGAAACATGTCAGCAATTCCTAGCGACTGTTAGCTAGGGTTAAAATATGTAGCCTAATACACAGCGGGGTTGGTTGTAACAGAGTGTTTCAACTAGCCTCCAAGTGTACAATGATAATCAAATGAAAATGGAGCCACACAACTTTTCAGGTTTGAGTATACATTTAACTTTGTTAGACTTTCACAAACAATGTTGGGATTTAAAATGTTTAAAATTTAGTGTACTATGAACTTGTTTATTTATTAAAATGGCCTGTTATTAATGCAATAAACCCTTTAAATTTTTATTTTAAGCTCATTTGTATTATCATTACTGTTAATAATAATAATAATTGTACATCATGCAGCTGCCACACACAAATCTAATTTAATTGAAATTACAATATTTATAATTTTATTTATTATTATTTATTGCAAAACTATGCAGCCCTTTTCTGTCTCTATCCATGATATTGATATCACATGATATATGATATCCGTGATGCTTCATGTGGTGTATATGTTATTTTATTTGTCTTCCTGCCCAGGGACAGCAGATGTAAACTAGCTATTAGCTAATTCTGGTGCAATTACTTTTAATTGTGCTTGTCCCTGTAAAAATAAACAATAAAATGAAAAAAAAAAAATGATCATAATAGAAGGATGATTAGATGAGGGATATGTATGGATATCTGTCTATACAGATGCACAAACAATATCAAACTATACAAATAAAATAGTACTGAATTATGTGTGTTACACACAAGTGTTACAACTAACCCCTATCTGTTACAATTAACCCCGCGTATGGGGTAAGTTGTAACATTTGCACTTCTGTCACTTTCAGTGCAACTGTACGAAAATGGTAGGTCCTAGAAAAAAACTTTAAGTGTTCATTTGTAGCAGAGATGTGTATGTTGCTTGTGAAAAAAAGTATTAATCTAACCTAATTATTTTTTAATTAATTGAGCCAAAACCAAAAAGCGTTAGGTTGTGCCCATCGACGTTAAACCACGTTAACCGTGTTAACCATAACATTTTAAATACTCGACCTAGTTCCGTTGCTGCAACGGGAAGAAACTCCTGTAACTTCAGTGCCCAACCCGTATCACGACAGGACGTGAAATAATCACGTTGCTCCACTTTGGAAAACGTGTAGATGTCACGGTGTAGTTTAAACTCAAAACCATAAATAGGGCTATACTGCCCTCTTGTGTCAAAATATATTTCTATATTTATTTTTTTCCAACAAATAAACCAAACCCCCAATAAAACCCCATACACCCGGTTGAACTCAACAGATTCAGTGGTTCAGTTGATAAAACTTCGGGCTTTAATCAAGAAGACCAGAGTTCAATTAAAAAAGCCTCTCTGAGCATGTGTCTTCCCTTGGCAAGCCATCTGCCACACCTGGAGCTAAGTTTCTAGCCACCCTTAGGTTGGTGCTCCAGTGATCTCCATATGTAGTCCCTAACTCGGCCATATGTGTATTCTTAAGTCCTCCCTACGGTGGGCATTTGGTTGCATGTCCCTCCCGGGATATGCTTCCCAGTGTACCTTGGTATTCCTGTGTTAAAGTAGGAACTCCTGGTTATAAGGTAAGTTCAGGAGTCCAGACTTTCGCAGGGCACTGGAAGACAGCTATGAAGATGGCGTGATGGCATAGACCCCCATTCTTCGTCACTCCTGACGTAACTCGGAGTGACTACGAAAGGGAATGTCTCGGTTACGGATGTAACCCTCGTTCCCTTAGTAGGGAACGGAGACGTTACGTCTCCTTGCCACTTCTGCTGTACCGCTGGGTAGATGCCGAGTTCAGTCTTGGCTCCTCAGCGAAGACATACTGCGGTTGCGTTCACTTCCTCCTTTTATACCCACAGGGTGGGGCGGAGTTACGCTATGCAAATTCCGCAGCCCCAAGGCATTTTCATGCCATTGGCTCGTTTTTAAATACTCGAAGAGGATTGGCTTTCTATGCGAAACCCCCATTCTCCGTCACTCCTGACGTAACGTCTCCATTCCCTACTCAGGGAACGAGGGTTACATCCGTAACCGAGATGTTTTTCCCCTCAAAATAAAGAATTATTCATGCTTTAAAATAGATTGAACGTAACTCTACACCCTTGCTTCATTTAGTATGTGATTCTATGGATATATAAATTATCCCCGCCTCCACTCACTCACACCAGCCCAGAGATCCACTCGTTGACGATCACACATTGATCTACAAACTTGTGACGTCAGAAACACCGATATCAAACTGTGTCTTTAGTTCACTGCAGTTTTGAGGAGAAAATACTCAGCAATGCTGTTGACTTATGAATCTGCACATGGTTTGTCTTAAAGGGTTAGTTCACCCAAAAATGAAAATTCTGTCATGTTGTTCCAACCCCGTAAGACCTTCGTTCATCTTCGGAACACAAATTAAGATATTTAAGATATTAAGATCGCTCCTGCATACAGTCCATAGGCTTCTTGAGGGACTGGCTCTTGCTGTCCACGAAAAGTCATTAAAGACATCGTTAAAATAGTCCAAGTGACTACAGTGGCTCAATCTTAAGTTTATCAAACGACGAGAACACTTTTGTGCGCAAAAAAACAACAAAAATAACGACTTTATTTCAACTATTCACTTCCTTCTCCATGAGCCTGTAAGTCAGTTAACGTAGTGTGATTGCGTAGAGCTACGTCACACGTAGGCTCACTATTGGCCGACGCTGGTCATGTGTGTGTGACGCGTGTGACGTACAATAACAGAAGCTTACGCTATTAAACTAGTAACCTGACTCGCGCAGAGGGAGAAATAAACGAATAGTTGAAATAAAGTCGTTATTTTTGTTGTTTTTTTGCGCACAAAAGTGTTCTCGTCGTTTGATAAACTTAAGATTGAGCCCCTGTAGTCACTTGGACTATTTTAACGATGTCTTTTATGACTTTTCGGGAACAGCAAGAGCCAGTCCCTCAAGAAGCCTATACGGACTGTATGCAGGAGCGATTTTAATATCTTAAATATCTTAATTTGTGTTCCGAAGATGAACGAAGGTCTTACGGGGTTGGAACAACATGAGGGTGAGTAAATACTGACAGAATTTGCATTTTTGGGTGAACGAACCCTTTAAAGCATAAAAACACCACATAGGCAAGGCATATAACCATTAAAAACTTGATTTTCACCTTGAGGAGACTTTAATATATCTACCACAGAAGATAATGGTCTAATTACCTGATAAAACTGAAATCTAAATAATAGGATTACACAGGAAGTAATATTCCTCATAGTGCATTAAAGACAAATAGTATTTTAGTAAAGATATTTTACTACACATTTACACAGAGACTTATGGAAGAATACAACAGAAGAGCCTATTTATTATTAAACAAAGAGATAGCATTCACTCACTCACTCACTCAAACCACTGAAGAACACAAAAGAAAGTCTATGAATGAGTAAAATACAGGCAGTCGATGAAGTTGGAGGTCACTGGAAGCGGGCAAGGATGTTCCTCTGGGGTCCCGGCTGAGGCCCGGTCGTCGTCGTGGTCGTCGTCTGCTGCTGCTGCTGCTGTAACTGATGTCGCAGCTGCTGGGAATAAGGGTCTTCCAGAGACTTCACTGACACAGTGGTTTTTGGTCCTGTCTTCCATTCGATCCCGCTGCTGTCAACAACTGAGGCTTCAACAGAGACCATGTGTGTGCCCAGGATGGAAAAGTTGAGCAGGAACTGTGTGCTGAAGTAATCATTATGAGGCTCCACTTTCTGCTCAATCTCATTGGTCTTGGAATCAAGAGGAATCTAAAATCAAAGATGAGAACATGAGAGTACGCAACTGGGAAATGATGTTTCCCACCAGCTGAGAACGACTGCACTAGACGATCAACAATGTGAAACTTTTGACTCTGGGTTGAACTCACCTTGAAGTCTGATCCTGGTTTAGTCTGTAGAGTAGAGCTGACTTTAAGGCAGACCGCCTGAATCTTCCGGAACAGTCCCGGAGTGGAGCCATGCTGCACCACCCCCTCCACCTTTAAAGTCAACTGCTGGTTGTTCTGCACTGGGATTGGCTCGTTGGGGGTGCGAGGAGATGGAGAGAGGGCAAGCTAAAACAAAAATCATTTTAAAATCATATAAATGTGGACATCACACATGAAATCTGCAAACTTTGCACGCGGGTTATTAAGGCATAACCTCAACCAGTCGATTATTTTTAATAATTTCACATTGTACAGATTACTTACTTTAATGCTGGTGGACTGAAGCTTCTGGAAGAAATATCTCTGGAACGACAGTGGTACCTTCAAGATGGCTATGACGGCATCGCACAGGCAGCCAGTGTGCTTGAAATGGATAGTTAAAAAGACACATTAAAAAAAAAAAAAAAAAAAAAAAAAAAAATCAAGAAACAGAAAGATGAAAGAAATGATGTCTCAGAAAACTCGGCCAATGGAAACACTTCAACATTACCAGGTAAGAGACAGGAGGGTGCTTCCTGCTTAAGTTTTCCACTTCCTCCAAGACGTGATTGAACACAGCCAGCATTCTCAGTTCATACTCGCTCTCTGCCAGAACCGATCCATGTGTCCCGAACTCCTGGAAACTGAACCAGATGGCATTACGACGTGCCAAAGAAATATTCGAACGAATAAAAATCTACCAAACGTCTTGTCAAAATCCCACATTAAATATTTGAAGCATCTGTTTAAATGTAAGATTCATGAGTATTCTTACCTGGCCGTTTGTGGATCAATTATTAAAGCCTCAATAACATGAGATACAAGCAAGCAGCTTTGCTGTTGTCTGAGAAAAGCTTTAAGGAAAGTACAGCTGTTTTGAAGAGCAGCTTAAGATTCATTTATAAGCACCATATTTACAATATCTTATACACTCACCTAAAGGATTATTAGGAACACCTGTTCAGTTCAATTATTCAATAATGCAATGATCTAATCGACCAATCACACGGCAGTTGCTTCAATGCATTTAGGGGTGTGGTCCTGGTCAAGACAATGGCCGTTTCTCAATATGCGTACTTGTCTGTACTTGTGTTCTTGTGGACTTGTGAAACGTCATCAGTCGCTGCCGAAGTACTGTTCCAATTCAAAGTTCCCATCTAGCCAAGTCCACTTCAAATCCCCGGATGTGTTCTTGATCCGCCCCGTTTACCGAGGATGCATCGAGAGGTGACTTGTGTGGACTTGAGATAGCCAGGTAACCCAGAATGCACCTCGCACCAACCAGCAAGCGTCAATGGGAGAGGAGAAAATCCGCGAAATATCAAAATACTACTGTTATTGAGTCATGAAATGTAATTTTAAGAGTATTTCAGGCGAGAATGTGGTTGTTTAAATCTCAAATCTGTAGTTTATTTATAAAGATAGCGCCTATCTGTAAAATGCATCTGACGTTTTCGGAGTTCTGACATCCAAGCCTTCAGCGGACACTCAGCGAGATCAACCCCGACTGGAACAGCTTATCCTCGGCTAGTGCTTCTGACGTTTGCCGCCGGCTCTGATCTCTCTAGTCAAGTGGATAAACCTTGACGTATAACTCGTCTTGTGTATACGTCTATCTTTAAATCTATAAATCTCTATCATTAAACTATAATTTGTTCCATGGCGCAAAAAAAAAGGTTTTAAGGTTTAATGGCTATTTTTTTATATTGTCTTCACTATATGAACAATAAAATAAAATGACATAACCCTGTCTCTGTTTGATAAACGTCAATAAAAATCCAATGTTTCATATTTTTAAAATGAAAACAAAAAGATCATGTTCATTTTGTTATAATACATGCAGTGAAGAGAATCGCGTTGACTGAACCACATGGCCATTAGGATTAGGCTATTATATGCTATGTTGTTTTTTGTTAATGAAGAGTCAGAGGGGTGTTTTATAACATATTTTGTCTTATTGTTGACGAAAAGATGCAGAGTTGTAGCAAATTTCGTTTTATTGTTGCCTAAAATATCAAGTACGCTCTGTTCCATTTGCAGAAGAACCGGACTTGCGTCCTCACATCCTCGGGAGTTCGTTCTCCGGAGTCGAACTTGCAAGTCTGAACTACCAAGGACGCAAGTCCGAAGTCTGCGTACTTGGTATTGAGAAACGGCCAATCTCCTAAACTCCAAACTGAATGGGAAAGAAAGGTGATTTAAGCAATTTTGAGCGTGGCATGGTTGTTGGTGCCAGATGGGCCGGTCTGAGTATTTCACAAACTGCTCAGTAAAATCCCAGTATTTTCACCCACAACCATGTCACAAACACTGCTCTTACGGGTGCTTGAAGAAATGTCTCAACGGGTCAAATCAGGCTACTTTCAATAAAAGCTCCAAACATATTTGAAATAGCTTTTAGCTGTGTTGCTATACGTCATGATAAGCAACTGAGTAAGCTAACACTCTGTCTAGACGAGCATCTATAATAAACTCTTCCAATGTTTCACCGAGCGCATTTTGTACATTTGTCTCTCTGAATGGGAGCCTGATGATGTGGTGTGGTATTGAAACATCCATTGTGTAGGATGTGAGGGAGAAACAAACACAAATGAATCTTCCAGATGATTAATTCAATCATAATTCCACACAAAACTCAACACTCCAGACACCAAATCAACAATCTAGGACCATAAATAATGTGTGGGCTCCAGCCAGTCTGAGCTAACTAAAGAACCCCTGAGCTAAGTACTTAATGCAAGCTTCAAAGAGCGCCTGGCTAAAGGAAGAACGGTGCCAATGTTAGGTAGTTGGTAAAAGACAGATTGGTTCGGAGATGGCACCGTTCGAGTCCCACAAAGATAACGCCAGAGGATGTTTGATCCCATGACAGAGACTTAAAACAGACCTTCCTTTTCTTAAAAACCTCTGAGCGACCTCAGGGTGGAAATCTCTCCAAAGCCACAGAGATTCAGACTTTACATATGAAAATACATAAGATCATCTCAAAACACGATTGACGTACTTATAGACTTACACAGTTGAAAGATGTTTGATTATACCATGTCTACAACTTATATATGACAGTATAGCCCGAACCTTGTGTTCTCACCATTTTAATGACAAATCATTCAAAAACATACATGAATTCAAATGTGGATTCGCAAACCGGTTGTTCCCGAAGGAGGGCTCAGTATCCAGTGTATATGGATCAGGTTCGTCCTCCTCCGAATCACAACCTGTAAGTAATATTAATAATGTTTGCTGTTATGTTTTCTGTAGCATTAACAATATAGTTATATTGTGTTGTGTGTGTTTTGTACACTCCGCGCAGCTTCTAAGCGGGGTAAAGTTAGTTTCGTTTTTGATATTCACCAGACATTCATTGAAAAATGGTAATTACCTCCCAAACGACTTAGCCAAATATGACTTCGCTCTATATAATAAGCACTGCCCCTCAAAAGCCGCCGCAATGTGAGTTTCGCCGGGAAAGCTTGCTCTTGACGGAGACGCAAGTAAGGGACCGTGTGGAAAGTGCACTTTTTCTGACACGTTTGTTCAAACACTATATACAATTTTCAACACTTGACAAGCTATAAACCTGGTTGGGCGTTCCGTTGCTGACAATCTCTGCCTACAGTTTACCAATAACAACTGACTGAGTCATTTCACCAATCGCCACAGATTCGCGTCACTCAAAGGAGGTGTTTGGGAAAATGAATCGTCGAACGACTCATTTGGGAGTCGTTGAGCAAATCAGTTAAAAATAAATTCATATTATAAGACAAATGAAGTGTTTTTTTTTATCCTTGCATGCACGTTAAACTGTTTTTGGGAACTCCTAAAACAAAAATAGGAACATTTCAAATGCTATGATAGGGGCTCTTTAAAAAGAAAATATTTTATAAAGACAGTGCACTTGTGTATACAGGTGGCACCATCTTTGGAAAACTGCGTTCGTGTAAGACTTGTCGTGACTGTTTTCCAAAGATGCTTCCTGCCTGTATACGCGAAGTGAACTGTCTTTATAAAATATCTTCTTATTAAACGGTCTGTACACTTACAAATTTCTCAATGCTTGGTTTGCATGAAGGGACCCTCATTATGTTACTGTGTTAGTGTGGGGATATTTTAGATTTTAAATAAGTGATTCTTTCAAAATTCCCTTTAAACTAATTAATAATTCCCTTATAGCCAAATTGACTGGTTTCCCTTACAATTAGTGTTGTCACGGTACCAAAATTTCAGTATTCGGTACCAATACCAGTTAAAATTCACGGTTCTCGGTACCAATTTCGGTACCAAAGCTTAGTTTAAATTTACATATATTTAAGTGTTTATCACGGTTACAAGTATGGAAACTGTACATTTGTATTATAAACACTTTAGAAAAAGATTAGATAAAATGACCTAAAATAAACAATAGTATACACTAACACATTTTTAAAGTTGTTTGTAAAGTTTTAATCCATTATTTATTTAATGCACAATGAATTAAGTGAACAAACATGAACAATCAGGTGTTTGTAATAAATAACATTTTCAAACATTAATTAATGTTGTAAAAATATATTGTTCACTCAATGTGTTGATAACTAAGTAATGTTGATGAATGGTATCTTTGTAGCATTACCATTAAACATGTTTTATTTGACTTGACTGTCCTTTTATTTAATCTAAATCTGCATTCATATTTAATTTTAAAAAGGCTTTTTAAACCTGCTGAGTTATAAAGGCAAGAATACGCCTAGTACTGGCACTGACATTAAATGACAATACTAATACCATAGTACTCTGGTGTCGGGTAGATACTACTGTGCTCATGTACTCGTAAAACTACCCCGAAAGCACTTTAGAGGCCGTTCACATATCGCGCGTTTTTTAATTATATTTTTGCGCGTGCTTATTCTTTCCAAAGCGCTGCTCTCACGCGGCGTCTGTCGTTGCTATGCAACGCCAACGAGTTTTTATTATGAGCGCGCTTGAATCGCGCCTATATTTGAAATTGCGAATTTTGCATGTAATTCGGCCCTCTATGGCAACGTGACATTAGCCTAATCCAAAATATTTCCATATGTGGCTCTTTCCTCCTTCCGTTTCAACAAGTGGATTCAGAAGAGAGAGGAGAGCCATATCAGCGTTATGAAGAGGACGCAACTGTGCACGTTTCAGACATCGCGTCTAGAACAGAACTGG